TCCCGCCGCCCCGCCTTACCGCAGGGCGCATGCGCCAACCGGCCACGCGTCCTCACCCGCCTCCCAGGGCGGTGGAACCCCGCCCCTGCCGCCAAGCGACCAATAGGAGCTGAGGAACGCCGTGACTGGCCGAACGCGGCGAGTATAAAAGGGGCTCTGAGGGCGAGGGGCGCTTTAGGCGTTCTCCCAGTTGCGGGTGATGTTTTCTGGTCAGCACCTGCCTGGGAACTGGTTTACATGGTGTGCGATGACAAACTAGGCCTGTGAGAAACTAAGGAAAACAAGCTGGGAAAGTAGAAGTTGAGGCTGATCGAAGAAGCGCCTCAAGCACTGACAAGACAGAACGATGAGTGATGGGTGGGTGGTGTGGAGGTCGAAGCTGATAAGGCTGCCCAAATAACACAGGGTGTGGCTGGAGGAGGGAGTCCTGTGAGACATAACAGCTCTGCTCTGGGGCACCTGGCCGAATTTCAAGGGCCATCTGTCCAGTGAGTGACCTTTACTTTGTTATCCATGAAATGTATATTAAAGATAACATCCCTCAATATGCTAATGAGAGATAGCATGATTATGCTAATTACATCATCTCATGAAACACCTTACTCCTCCCCATACATGGGATATGTAGGTATTTGGGTTGACCTAGGGATGGACCCAAGGAAAGCATGTGTAAATCAAGGTGGGGGAAAGAAAGAGGGGGCCCTGGAGAATGCAGTGAAGGGAAGAAGCCACCTGCCTCCTGCAACCATCCCTGGTGGGATCAGCACAGGAACCCAGACCGATGATCTGTATTTCCCTATTCCCTCTATCTCCCTCCTTTCCTTTTACCATTAAGAAATGCAAGGCATATTGTATTGCTCACCACAACTTGCTATATACTTAGCCAATTATCATGTGTTCAATTAGTACATTGTGGGTAGTTAATTAATGTTTGGATTTGGAGACTTGTGGTCTGCTCCATTGGGAATTTATGAATCTGAGTCACTTGTCCCCCTCGTCTGAGCAGGACGTGACACATGAGGTTAATGTTTTGCCTGCTTAATCAGGCAACCTCAGCATGGAGGAGTTTATAGTTCTGTTTTGCGGGGTATCCCTGAGCTCCTGTAGGGGGGTATTGGCTAAACTAGAAATGGCAGGGGAGCAGAAGAAAACTCTGCACTACTAGTTTTACCTCTCTGTAACTTTCTTGTTCAATACTCTTTCTGGATGCGCTGTATGAGTAGAAGGATTCACTGTAGGCTATGTCAGTACCCCTGGCCTTGTAGTGCTGCTCTGCCTTATCTAGGCTTGCATGGGACTGGTTAAGCTGAACAATGAGCAGATCTGTGCTGATCCCTCAGCCATAACTAGTGCCGATCCTCCTTTCATAAGCCTCTTTTCTAACCAATGTATGTTCCTTGTAAGTCTAATGCAATACTTCTTTGCTTCTTTGTTTCGTCCTCATGTTTTAGTTTTCTTTTTAAAAGGGACTATTTATCATATGTGTGAGACTTGCAGCAGTTGGGATTTGAAAGTGGAGTCATCTGATATCCTTGATTTATGAGGAACATAGAACTGAGCAAAAACTTGTTATTCATGTCGAGAGAAGCATTTCTGCTGCACATATGGATGAAGCAAGAGAGGCTGTGCTAGACTTTCTTTGCACTGAGTATGTTCCCACGGTCTGAGCTGCTGCTGTAAATCTGGAAGAAATGCCTGTGACTTAAAACCGATCATGTACAAAGGAGATAATCAGCTGTCTTGTGCTGAAATGGGAGTGCAAAATATAGCTACTTTCTGTGGAGTTTCTTCTAGAAAAAAGGAAAAAACAGTTTTTTACTAGGAGCTGTCATAGTAACCCATCATACTGTGCCTTACAGAACTGAAACCAGGAAGGCTGAGATTACTTGGTAAAACTGGGGTTTGGTGCATGTGGATGCATGGCCACACAGGAAACACCTAAAAAATACAGGATTGTGAAACAAGAGATGTGAGCACAGGAAGAAGGGTTAACATAGCATTTGAATATTCTTTCTTCTCTGCCTTCTGCATTTTACTGCTAAATTGCCTTCTTATTCACAGACTTCTGTACTATGGGATCAGTTAGAGAGATAATTTGCTTTCTGTCAAGTGCTTGCAACTTGCTGCAAACTGCTGACTGTAATAGCTGGTACCAAGTTAATACCTGATTGTACATGAAAGACACCCAGATGTTTCACAGTATGCATCCTCAGTAAATTAAATGTGAGCAGTGTGCTTCCAAATGTGTTTTCCAGTCTCCTTATTGGATTTTTTTGTCCTTCAGCATTTTCATTATGGCAGTGCTCTCCACAATAACATCTTTTCTAAATAGCTTTATCCTTCAGGTCAACAGGTAAAAAAAAAATAAAAATTGAAGACACTCTATTAAGAGAGTAATTGAGATTATAGATTTTTAGAATTCTCTACTTATAAAATGTGGTAGAGGTTAAATATATGCTCCTCAATTATGCTGTTGGGAAAAAAAGGGATATAATGAAACCTACACATGCTGGGTAAGAACTTTGTTTCAAGGGTGTTTTCTAGCCAAGGTATTGCAGAACTATTTCTGATACCACTTAATTTACATACATATACTGAAAAACAGGGCTTTAGTAAACACTCATTTTAATACTGTAATGTTTTCTACTTTTTACTACACCAGTTTGAATTACAGTACTACAGGCCTGCATTAATTCTTTCCCCTTGTGAAAAAGACAGTGTTCCTTTTATAAAAGGTGAATAGTGATACAGCATCATCAGTGCATCTAGCCAGGCATATATAGAACTGGAGATAATGGCTCCCCTGTGCTTCAATTACAGGTCACATTTCTCCTGGGGAGAAAGAATGATACATGGAGGAGTTATCTACAAATTCTCAAGATAGTTGGGAGAAAATCTGAATTTCTTTTTTGGAACAGAATCCTTTCCATACACAAAAAAATGTCTTGCAGTATAAATCTATGTGAAAATGTAGATTCGAAAGAAATAATTCTCATTTCATATGTTTGAAGTTGAAGAGAGGTTGTATAACTGTGAAACCCACTGCTGAGGTGGCCTGCAGCATGCAGTCAGAAGCTCAAATCACAGCATGGTCCTTCTGCTGTCTCAGAAAATGGCTTTTCAGAGTGGGACTGTCCATACTTCCCTGTCACCGAGGATGTTTATTCCATCAGCAGATGAGCCACTGCAAGAGATATTGGCATAGGCACATTGCCTTGGTGTGCTCTGTGGGGCTATTTAGACTGGATATAAGATTGGTGAGACTGGAGTTGCTTTTGTATGCCCTGAGAGAACAGGTGCCCTGTTTCATAAGCAGGTGGAGTAGACCAGCATATGCAACCTGTACCTCTTACTGCCACACAGGAGCACTTGCTCCTTTCTTCATTAGAAATTCTTAACTGGCCACTCATGTCTCACTCTCACAAGGGAAGGATGACCTTACAGGCTTTTCTGCATCTTCAGCAGAGAAACACTGGTTTTATGGTTTTTCTGAGACCCAGTAATGGAACTGTACAACCACCTGACAGCTCACCCTTGTGCAGGACTTGGCAACCTGCAAGAATTAAGTATTCTCCTTGAAAACCTCTGAAGAAAGAGCTTTAAAGAAAGTGTCATATTCAGACACTAAAGCCCCCTCTCTGAGTCCTCTAACACCTCATTAGACAGTAATGCAGTTTTCTGTTTTCTGTTTCCTGTCTTCTTCTTGCTGATTACTGAAGTATTGGAACGAAATGAGAACTTGTGTTTGAATTGGCCTTTCTCTGCAGTCAGTGTGCCTCAGTGTCACATATCACATTATCATATGGTCTTAAATGTTTCCCTATGGTTCATTTTGTTTTGATCTGTGATTACCTCTCCCATGCTGTTTTATCTCTTTTAGCACCTGACACTGGACATCTAATTATCATGACCACCAGGAACTAACAGGATACGGTTTTACAGAGGTTTGTAATCTTCAAGTTCGTACAGTCTCAAAACTGCAAAGTGCTTTTGTTAAATAGTTTGCCTTAAGTGAGTTTTTACACGTATGCTTTGCAAACATAGATAGAGTTTCCTAACCAGGAAAAGGGGCTGATTTTTATTTTTGAGACTGACTGATCTACTATGGTCAGCACATGCAAGCAGAGCCTATGATAGTCTCTGCCTGAGACTGATGTGAAGATAAATTTTCTTGACAGATGTGGAAGGGTAGCTTTTGTTATTATACTCCATGTCATGTAAGAGAAGGCTGAAAAGCTACGCTTTCTGGTACAAAGCAACTGTATCCAGAGCTGTGCCTGTATAAATTCTCAATGTGCAGATTCTATTTACAAAAAAGATGCTACAATTTAAAAAAAAAAAAAAAAGGCAGAAAAATGAGGCATAAAAAAACTAAGTAGCTGGTAAAAGGATAATTACATGTAATTAAATTAAATATATTGTACATCCTAAAATTACTGTCATGGTAAGACAGAGAAATGGCTGTAAATTCAAATCTGGTTTTAGATACAAATGGTGTTGTCTTACAGAAAAAAAAGATGCATGCTTTCTTATGACATTGGTCCAGAAGCTCTTGTTAGAGAATGAACAACACCCTTAAGCAATGCCCCTTCTCTGTCACGAATGCTCCTGGGACTTCACCCAGCGTCCTTAGCCCAGCTTAATGGTTTGAGTCTCTGGAAAACAACCAGCCTTGGGATGGTAAGAGCAGCACCAAGTGTTTAAGAACTTATTATTCATGCATGAACCATGGTGCTGCCTAAGGTCATTTTAAAATGGGCTCTCAAACAAATTAACTCTCTCAAAGCTTGAAGCCAACAGAACTGACCTGGCTTCAGGTTTTTACAGACAAAAAGAAGCCCTGTATAGCTACACTGCTTCATGTCCTCAGAACTGGTCTGCCTAACTACTCCGTGATGTCAGC